TGGTCTGCATAGTGAGTTCCAGGCCAGCTGGGGCTACAGGGAGACCCTGTCTCAAAAAGACAAAAACCAAAACAAACCTATCAGCTGCAGAGGAAGGGCTGTCTGCGAACAGAGCAGGCAGACAGTTTCCATAACTGAGTGTCTCTCAGGCACGAGGGAATTTGATGAGCTTGGTGGGGGCCAACCTCAATCTATGACTTAACTCCAGGAACAGGGTGGTCAGGGCTGTTGCAGATGAGATGGCCAGACTGGCTGGGGAGTCTGCAGCTAGAACACAGCAGGTTCCACTCTGCTGTGGAGGGGCAGCACAGACTCTGTGCGTAGGCGGGTCAGCCCTGTGTGGCAGATGCCTCTCCAGCATAACAAGAAAAACTTAGGCCTGTCTGGGAAGTGCCTTAGGTTAAAATCCTGGCAACAGTGTAGAGGACTTTCATGGTCAACACTACGGTTACTGCAATCTGCAGGTGGCCTGCAGAACTTTAGTTTGATTTCTAGCCCAGAGGCCTGGTGTTGGCTGGAGATGGGCCTCAGGGTATTTTAAGGTAGCTCTAGCTGTGTAGGAAGTCTCTGTCATACCTCCCCACGTAGGTCTTCATCCCTCAGGGAAGGAGGGAGGGGAAACACGCCTTCCAGAAGTTCCACAGGGACAGACCTTTCTCTTGCCCCTGCCCAGCTGGACTCTCGCACCCCTACTTCCTGTCTGGCCCTGGAAGCATCTGAAAGTCTGAGCTCTGGCAGGTGATTGGGAATTAGTACTGCAAGGGAGGTGAGATTATCTGACTTCTTTAGGGAGTCCTAGGTAGGTGTGGCAGGACAAGTCTACCATCCCAACACCTGGGAGGCTGAGGCAAGAGAACTACAAGTGCCAGCCTGGGCTATGTAAACCAACCCTGTCACAGCAGGGTGTGATGGTGCAGGTCTGTAATTGAGGTCCTGGGGATGCTGAGGCAGGAGGACTGATATGAGTTCAAGCCTGAGCTGCCCTGTGAGTACTAGACCAGCCAGGGCTACATAGTAAGACCTTGTTTCAAAAAACAAACAGACCGAAAAAGATCCTGACAAAAACAAACAAACAAACAAAAAACCACTGAAAACAAAGGGCATAGGCCACAAAACACCACACTTCAAAGTGTTGGGCTAGACTTATCTCACGTCAAACAATGTGAGAATCCCATTTGAAGAAGTCACATCTAAGGGTTAGCAAAATTTTCCTGAGAATCAACGATATCATCAGACTGATTAAAGGGCTGGAGAGATGGTTCAGCGGTTAAGAATACTGGTCGTTCTTGCAGAAAACTCGGGTTTGAATCCCAGCACCCACATGGCAGCTAACAACTGTCCATAACTCCAGTTCCAGGGGATCCGACAGCCTCTTCTGTCCTTTGTGGGCACTGCACGACACAGGTGCACTTACCTACATGCAGGCAATACATGCAATACACATAACATAAAAATAAAATTTTTTTAAAAGTAGACATTAACTTTCCTTCTTAAAATTAAATTTCAATGTTTTCAAAAAAGAATTACATCCTTTGGTAACAAAGCATTGTGGGTTTTGTTTGTTTGTTTGTTTGTTTACTGTTTTGTTTCGAGACAGGGTCTCCTTGTAGCCCCAGCTGGCCTGGAACTCACTATGGAGACTAGGCTGACCTTGGACTCAGAGATCCGCCTGCCTCTGCCTCCACTTGGACAT